CCCCCCCCCCCCCCCCCCCCCCCCAAGCCTACCTCCAGCTTTCAAAACTGCTTCTCAGTGGAAAAACAGCACTCATGTGCAATTAAGGTAATTAGAGAATGCCACTGGAAGTAGAAATGAACATCTGGATGCAATCTGGTAAAAAAATATATATAAAGAATGGGAAGGGGGGGAACCAAGAGAAAGCCAGAATAAGGTGAGAGGAAAACGTGACGCAGGGAGAAGATGGTGGCCCTCAGACCTTGGCCCAAGTCACACGGAGGGTTTCCATGGCAACGCAACGAGGGAGGAAGAGTCATAGTCTTCCCTCTGTCTCTGCTCCTCTTATATTACTTATTATTGTGCAGGATATTTTTTCACTATGTAAATTATTCCATAGCTCTGTCTTTAGCACTGCAATGCCCGTCCTGTCACTGTGGCTTCAAGGGGACCTCACTGCAGCCCATGCTTCACTGGATCTGCCTTGTTTGGCTACAGGATCATACCTGTTCAAGTTTTGGATTTGAAAATAAGGGAAATTTTCCGGCACCCACCGCGAGCCATCCCACCACCCCAACCAAGCTCCAGTATCCCTTACGTTTTAAGACAGGTGTACAGGAAATCTAAAATAACCACTTGTCATTCACATTTTATTTTCATTACACATTTTAAAATACGGTAGTTTCCCGGCCAAAACGGGAGACTTGACAGCCATGTGCAGGATGAGCGTCACCGTCGGCAAGGCTCACCGGAGGCTACGACAGTGCTAGCCCACAGCGTGTTCTCGATGCTGAGGCTCTCGTTCACCGGGGGGTCACCATCCTCCTGCGATAAACACACACGACTGAGAGATATGCCAAAAAGAATATATGACTGCACTACTGCAGTCTGCTTCAGTCTGTATATCTATGTCGTATGTATTATTATTTTACTTGTCCTCTGTTTTATTTTGATAATATCTGGCATTGGTGGGAAGGCACACAGAGATTCTACATGTACAACGACAGTAAAGATATTCTTTTTCTATTCCGTGATATTATAGTTTCACCACCAGTGTCCGGCCACATGTGTCACATATTCTAAGAACATTATGAAGCTGTCCTTTTATAGAATGTATATGCAATACCAATTTTAAACCTAAAATCTGGAAGTGAAAGTAATTAGCCTGGAGGATTTTATAAAGGATGTCCTTAGTAAACTCAAATCAGCACACGTTGTATTACATGGCTAACTGGAGATACAAACTCAGTGGCACACAAACTACCCATGGAAACCTGAAGGTGCTTCATTAAGAAGTAACTAAATCCATTATACTTATAAGGGACAACTTGCTGCATGCAGATCAGGTGCCTGTTACAGAACCAACGCTGTTCCGGCTTAGCTTTTGGATTTTTTTTTTTCTAATTGACCCTGAGTATATCACTCAAGGGGAGGAAGTGAGGGGGGGGGGAATCTAAGATTTTGTATGGTGGGAGGCATAAGCCCTACTCCTGTATACCCCCCAGGGGAAGGTTGGTAAGGGTCAAAAAATTCGGCTGACAGGGCAGAGACCGAGGCACACACAGTGCCACTCACCCTGGTAAAGGTGCCCACGAAATTGTGGATGTCGATGCTGGGCTCCTCCACGTACACAAACGATCGGATCTGAAGGAGGTCCTGCGAGGAGCAGTCGTGGGGTTAGGGCTCAGCACTGCAGCACTGTCATCTGTTAGTGCTCAAGAATTATCTGACCTTCGCTTTTCATCAGATTTTTCTGTCCTGTGCGTTTTAATCGTTATTAAACCAGCAAAGACCACGCACAATGACAATGGAAGAATAACGACCAGCTTTGCTCGTTTCAGATGTGCAGACTTTCTCTTCATTCAAAATTGCAGAATGCATTTTTTTTTTTATTGCTTCTCAGCACGGTGTGTCACATGACTCACGCCGGCAGTGGGCAGCCGTTGGGTACAGGCCACAGGTAAGCGTAGCTTCCAGTCCGTCTCGCCGTCCAGCTGGTCTGTACGCAGAAAGCAGGACCCTGGAAGTGGGGAAAAAAAACTGAATGGATGATGACGCGGGACACGTCTTATGCAGCAAGTAGCTAAAGACCCAAAGAATCTGCCATTACTGTGATCCCAGAGACTCGACCAGGATAAGCGGCTGGTAGATGGCTGGACAGATGCTTCCCTGACATGTTCTCCATTTATCAGCCATGCTAAGGAATGTGGAGCTTTAAAGAACCTCTAGGGGGCACTGTTGCACAATATGGCACAACTTGTTTCAAATTTTAAAAAAGTACGCTAAATGGAAAATGGTCTAAAGACTAAAAACAACAGGAACACATTAATTGAAAAACAAACACATAAATACCATATAAACAGGAGTAATTTTGAAGAATGAAAAACTCCAGCAAAAAGGCAGTACAGTCAACACTCATGTATTCATGCTGATATCACAGATCCGCGCACACGTAGTATTTTTACAATTTACTATTTCTGTACGTCTTTACGTAATTTATAATTGATTGAATACCTGTACCCTGTACATACAGTACATGTTTCCTTTACGTATTTATTAAATTGTGCCTTGGTTACATATATGACTTCTGTCAATAAGTTTACAGTCCCGTTCGTTTACTCATTTTACCTTACTGTGGATGCGAAAGAAAACAGCAGCCAATGCTGTGTGCTATGAATTAGTAAGGGTAACATTAGTATACTGTACTGTAAATGTGCTAGTGTGACAAATATCCGTTAGGCGATACTGTACTGTATTTTTACATCAAACATTTATTTGTTTTTAAAGGTAATGTATTATGCTAACTTTTAAATGAAATTAAAGTGTTTTGGGGGCATGACTGGGGTCATATTTAGGGTTCAAACTATAGAAATAGGCACATATTACCATTTTTAGTGACTCTACCAAACATCCGCGAATCCTCCTCATTTGCGACGGGTTCTGGAACCTCGCGAATGTCCGAGGTCTGACTGTATTTTTACTTTTTAATAATAAAAACATGCTTTACTATAGATGTCCAAATTACAGCATTTCATGCAATAATTAGGTGATAAGGTCAATCACTCCAATTCCATTTGCACAGAAATTGTTCCAACATGTTAATCTTGTCATATCTGGAAGAATGAACCACAAATTGAAATCAAAGGTTAAACTCAATGGCCTTTTCTCAGCCATAAGGTTGGCTCTCGGGACTTAAAGCCGACCTGGAAGCGCTGCCTTGCAGACTGGCCCACCAACCTTATTCGCAGCACTGTGCATGTATGTCACACTCATCAGACAAAAAGCGCGTCCACATGAAGGTCTGCATATAGCTCAAAAAAGGTGCCTAGCCCCCACCCACTCGGAAGGCTATGCCCCGAACACCAAGGCTCCTTATTATGACCTAATGGCCTCCATCTGTGTGGAAGATTACCAAAGATTCCTTCCCGTAAGATCAACAGCTTTTTTTTTTTCCTTACAGGAAATATCAGCTAAGATGGATCATGTTTCTTATGTTCCTAGGTGGACTCTAGTTTACGGTGTTTCTTTGAACTTAAAAACACAGAAAACCCAAGTAACTAGAAGTTAAGTGGCTTTATTTGGCCGGGTGGCCAAAGCGTTGGTAATCCTCGGCTGATTGGTTGGTTGGTCACCCTTCAGTCCTCAGTTTCTTATGTCTTGGTCATTTCTTCATTTGTTTATTCAGATTGAACGAATCTATACCTTCCCAGCTCTTTATTTGTTTCACATTTGTTTAAATTTTTGTTTAGATTATTCTGTTTCTATTTTGCATGTTTTTCATTTTCTTAAAGTTAAACAACATGTAAAAGTTTGTTTTTCTCTCCCCCTGGGTGCAAAAATGGGGCCAGGACGCGAGACCAGGACGCGAGACCAGGACGCGAGACCAGGACGCGAGACCAGGACGCGAGACCAGGCCAGCGCGAGCCCCTTATCGAGCCCCTTATCGAGCCCCTACTGGTGCTTGTCGCTAAGTGGCCACACCTCCCAGCCCTTCCAGGCTAATCCCAGCTTTTTAAAGACGAATGGCAGATGTTACCGTTTCTTTCCGAGGTCCTTAAGAAGATCATGTCAGCAGGAACGCGCTGGTTCTGCAATAAAAGGGGGGAAAAGTGAGCGAAGCAGTGGCTCTTTTCCCTCCCTCTCCACCCAGGTATACCTCTGATGCTGCCCTAATGTGCTCCATTATCTACGCTTAGCCGTCCACATGAAAAGCCCATCTGTAAATCAAGCCACCTTGCTCCAAAGAGGACCCCACTTAGGCTTCTGTCTGACCCATGCCTTCGACTTAACCCAGCCACGAAGGCCGTCAGATGAATTCTTAACGCTTTCCTAGCCGACTGATCTTTCCATTATTTCGAATCAGGCTAGAATTCCTCCCCAGTCTCAGTGCTTCATGCTGCATAATGGTGCATTGGGTAAATAGATCTTGGGTCTACAACACCCACTTTATTTTTAAGGGTTTACTTTTAATTTAATGAGATATCAGTTCACCTACGACCTGGAGGAAGATAAACGGACCCATCCGCAAACTGCTAAGTTTACCTTCTGCGGAATTACGTAATACTGAAGGGCTCAAACCATTTATTGTTATATTACATGAGAAAGGTCCATTTCGATTCCTAGGTATGGCACCTCATAAGCCAGCAGAACAAACCAGATCGGGTATTGGACCACGTCCAGGGCACCGTATGACACTGAGCCCTTCTGTACACCTATCCCTGATGGGAACATTTCCCCGTCATCAAAGAAGCAGGAGATCTGGCAGCTTATTAAAAGCCTGAGTCAAAAGTCCTGCAGTGATTAGCTAGGAGTACATTTAAGGTTACGGACAGAGAGCAGGCTCAGTCCGCATAACACGCCCGGAGCAGTCAGGGTTACGGGCCTTAATCAATGGTCCAACGGTTAGACCTCCACCTACCTTCTCGACGATGACGAGGTCTCCCACTTGAATGGCGCTGCTCTTCACCTTCACCGTGCCTGCAGGGAAGACGAAAGAGCAGCACTGAACAGCGTGTCCACGGCGAATTCCGCGAGCGGCCCGGAAGATCTCGGAAGGACAGTGGACCCCGGTAAAGTGACGCTAACCACGTCCGCGGGCAGCAGGATTAAAGCCCGAGTATTATGCTCAAAAGCACAACTGCGTAAACATGCATACCTGATGCACCACTTTATGGATCTACGCCATGTCATTTCAATATTTAAAAATCTGTTTTTTCCTTCAAGGTATGCGGGCGGTTCAATGATCCTTACCACAAAAAAAAAAACTGAGCTGTAAATTATGGGCTAAAAATGATCTTCTTTACCAAATGTTCGAGCCAGTCTGTTTTATTTGTTGTACATAACTGTGGTCCAGGGCAACACACACACACACACACACACATGCAGTTTGCATGTTCCTTTCATGTTTTCCTATGACAGGCCACAAACATGATGTTTCAGTACTGACCATCATGTTTGGCATCGTGTGTGTGTGTGCGCGTACGTGTGTGTGTGCGTGTGTGTGTGTGTGTGTGTGTGTGTGTGTGTGTGTGTGAGAAAGTGTACGTATGAGCCCTCTGACATGCTGGCATCTCAACAAGCCCCCTGCTTTGTACCATATGTCTCCAAGAAGAGGCTCCAACGCTCACCACAACCCTGGAGGAAAGGATGCATTACACTACATAAACATAGATATGAACATATATATAAGGACATACATATATACATATAACATAAAAATACAGTAATGTGCAAATATGAAAATGTTTAGTAGAGTGTAAATCTGCTCAGAACAAAATTACAATTCAGCATTCGATAATATGCAGATGAGCAGTAAAATAATAAAAAATAAAATAAGAATTTCTTTTGTTCTCTAAAGTTACTGATATCTTGTTGGACGGCTAGAAGCTTCAGTTCTCAAACCTCTCCAAGTATCTGTTAAATTTCACCACCATCACACGTACATACATAGTTATAATTCAATGAGGTATCAATTAGCCAAACATGTTATGCAAATTGTGGAGTTAATAGATACATGAGTATATTTTGTGGTTACGGCTAATACTGGCTATGAAAACGGCTAAACTGGCTCAATCTAACACCCATAAAATCACAGTCGAGCCTGAAGCAAGGAGTAAGATCTTGATTTAGAAGTTGAAGGCGAAGATAGTTTTCTTTCACTGCCTAAGACTTTTACACAGTACTGTATACAGACACAGACTGCGTCCCATTTAACCGTAACCCTTTCAAAGGCCATTAATAGCAGTAAGAGGCATGTGGAACATTTGGCACCAGAACTGTTAGCGAGACACTGGTAAGTCAACAGTTCACTGTTTACCCGACTACCAGCCCCAATAACCGCTCATACAGACTGGGCCGGGCTCCAGGAGATAGTTCTGGTAACAAACTGGTTCCGGACATCCACTGGTCACAAAGGTTCAAGCTGCTGAAAATTCCTGCTAAAATTTCACCTTGTTCTGGGGGTTTGAGGCACCCGAGCTTTCGGGCAGGCCAACGTTAATGAGAGAACTCAGAGTTATTTCTCTGTCAGCTCCGAATGAAAAGCCAACATTGTCTGAAACAGAGTGTTGACCTTTTGACCTGTGCAATGACCTCTGGCTTTCTGCATATGCAAGACATTAAAGCACATTAATATTGTTGGGCATCCTGAACCCCTGAAATATGGCTGCGGCCCCTCGGCCTTGAGTTCAGCTAACTGTACTCCGATTCTTTCAAAACGTAGTGCTGTTTAACGACAATTTATAAATCACATTAAAAACCTAAGGGCATGACATAATTATGGACTACAGGAAAAAGGCCTGCATGAAAATTCTTGCATGTTTTCCCATGGACACACATTTGTTATAAATTTGCTTCTGTAGATAAAGATCTGCCACTCCTAATGGCCATGTCTTAACTCTAATTATTATGGCTCCTTATAAAAAGGACTTTGAATCAGACTCACAATCACATAGTGGACTGAATTTTATGTCTGAACAGCAGAGTCACCAGCAGTCAGAATAACCCTTTTTCTTAGAAATTACATCCACTGGAAGAAACTGTCATCTAAACCAAAGTTCGCCAAATGATCACCTGAACGAAAACACCAGAGTATAGGTTAAAAAATCCTGAATTAAAAAAAAATCTCACTCTTATTCCTTGTTGGTAAAATTGCTGTTAAATGAACACATTTTGAGAGCAAGAATCTTAGCCTACAGAACCTGCCCAGAAGATTCACTCGGGCACTCTTGGGGCAGCCCTGGGGTCCACCGCTCTACTGGCTCTAGGTCAGGGTGACTTCTGCTGCAGCTGTCCTATTGGTCATAGTGACATGGGCTGCGAGTTCAAAAGCAAACGGTTGTTGAGTCACAAGCGGTCAGTGGATTTTCAGTCCGTGCGCTGGCTTGTCATGTCTGGGCCTCCTGTCATACACTTTAAATTCCTGTTTCAAATTAGGCAAAATGCCTCCGCTGCCACCCCCACCTCACTCCATCCCCACCCCCACCTCATTTTAGGCTCCAAAGGGACCCCTGCCTGGACTTTGAATCCACTCAGTATTTACCAATGAGCAACATGCCCCACAACCCAATAGGGTGGCTACAAACAAAGGAGCATGTCAACATTCTAACTGAATGGAAAAAATGTGAACTAAATAGTACTACTATTCCTGTCACCAAATTATATCTAATTAAGCAAAACAACACACAATCATGTATTGTCTTGGCAGTTGCCAAATGTGAATAAAGGTCTGTTTCATGAAAAATCCATTCCACCGTGAAAGGCAGTAATAACATAAATATAACTGCAACATACAGAACTATGTACATTTTATTTTTGCAAAAGTACAAATAGAAAACTTCCTGATTTTCTACCTGACAGTTCCTTAATAGCCAAACTATAGGACTAAACTTAAATTTAGTTTAGAAATGTCATTATGCCCATAATCTTTACTTAATAAAAATAAAAAGATAGGTGTCTGAATAATGATCACCATCCATCCATCCTGGTCAGGGTCACAGGGATTATCATCGCAATGTTATTATACATTCTGAAAGGTCGTGTGTATTAGTAGAAAAAGATCAAATTGCGAGAGAATTTCTGCATGCGTGTACAGCTCCTGAATCTCACCTCTGGTGGACAGCTTGCTGTAGATCTGGGAATTCACCTCCTTGTCTCGAAGAAAACATCTCATCTCCTCGACCGCCTCCCGCATGATGGTGATGATCAAGACGAAACCCTGTACCACAAGCAGAAACACACTGGAGACATGGCAGACTTAGAGCTAAAGCCAATGCGGCAGCTCAAGACCAACTAGAATACTCCATATTGCTATATAGCTGGGTTCGCAGATTACACTATTGACTGTATCTAGGGCCACATCTAGACATAAGCAGAGGCAGCTGCCTAGGGGCCCAGTCAATAGAATGGGGCCAGGACCGGCACAAGGGGACCCTTGTAGATCGGGCCCTGATTATTTCGACTCATCAGCAGTAACGTTACTCATCATCAGCAGTAATGTTACTCATCATCAGCAGTAATGTTACTCATCATCAGCAATAACGTGACTCATCATCAGCAATAACGTGACTCATCATCAGCAGTAATGTTACTCATGCAATCCAGTGCACGATTCATACGGATTTCAGATCAAACATTGTGTCGGTGAAGCCGATGGGAGTCTGTTCTGCCAATAAGGAGACCAGCAAGGGCTGTGCTAAAACAAAGTGTGGGATGCAGCCCCAAAGGTCAGGAACAGCCAGTCGGCTGAAGACGGCCTCCTTTCATCTGGTGACTCCCTTGATAAGAAGGGCAAACGCTAACCTGTTAGCTGATATATGGGGCCAGAAGACTTACCAGGGGGACCCAGTAAGTGTAAAGGGCCCCCAGGCGCAGCTCGGGTACGAACTGGGAGCACGCCAAGAGCAGGAAGTACAGGTTGAAGAAATACTTAAACTGATTGAAGAGCACCTGGGGACAGAGAACGGGGAAACTTCTCAGGAGAATTTAGTAACATTCAAAAGCAGTTTGATGTTAGCTGTCTTTTTAAAAATTATTATTATTGTTATTATTTAGCATTTATTTTTACACTTCTGTCTCTAGGTGTAATACTTTATCTCATCCCTTTGCTGTTGTATTAATACCCTGTATCTGTGCTGTATTTTTTGCACTGGACTATATGGATGGTTTGTTCTGCTGTTTTGTTTACTTGTATATACTCTGTGTTGCTGGTTGGTTATTGCTCTATGTTAGTACTCTGTTGTGGTTTTGTAATTTACCTTATTTTACGCTAATGTGACCAGTTATACCAAAGCAAACCTCTACTCGGGCTGTACATGGCGAGTAAAGCTGATTCTGATTCGGATATCTGTTTCAGACTCACACACAGCAAAAAATAAGGAACAATGATACCTAACATTGAACATCAGGAAATAATTAAACATTGTAACTAGTTCATATCTGCAATTACATGAGAAAAGCATGCAAATCGAAACAGAGCTATCAACTGCCCCTTAAATTTAGACACGGACTTTGATTTAAGAATCCATCGGTTAATTTGTTGCTCATGCTGATTTGGAACAGTCTGGAAAGCCAAACAGGCTCAGATGCACTAAAAGGGCCCATAAATCTTGAACATTCTGGAAGTTTCTGCACTACATGCATGACACATACTTAAGCCTGTCTAGAGCTGTCCCTTATTCAGCTTCCCTTTGATGGCTCCCTAACTTATGACAGAAATCTATACTGTCCCACATCATGCTTATACCCCCCGTGTCATAAAGCAAACACGCAGCTTTTCACAGTTACGCCACATGCCGCGGTTGAGATTCATTAACACTGCAGTGCCACATTCTCAAAATACTCAGACCACTTAATCTGGACATTGAGACCCCAAGCAAAACTATTTAAAAGGAAATATTTTAAACATTTATTTTCCATTTAGAAGAATCTGAAATTGTCATGCAAATGCAATCAGCTTTGTCATTCAATATTATTCAGTTCTCATAATGGAGATGGCGTCTCCGGAAACCGGTAGCCATGGGAACGAGCCAAAACAGGTAGCAGATCCTTTGTCTTCTTATTAATGCTACAATCTCTGACTAGGGCACCACCTTCTGAGGGGGTGCCAATTTAGAAGCACCCCCACCGCCCCCGGCAAGCTTCTCTGCCAAGTGGCAGGAGCAAGAGTACCATCAGCAGTATTGGAGAAGTTACTGACAAAAGGAATCCATTGCAGATGGAGATGGAAAGTTCCAACTCCAACCTCTGTTTGTAATAGATTAATTTTGTGAGTAACTTCCCCAACACAGTCCAACAGAGTCAGTGAAACTTGTCTAGGATGGGCTTTGACAAGCATTGATGTTACATCGAATGTAAAACCAACTTACTCCACAATACCTATATTACTAGAGGATATGAACATGCTAGAGCAGCCGAGCAAGGCTGTGAGGTGCTGGAGAACAGCACTCACCCCCGGCAGGAAGGTGAAGAGGTTGTACTTCTGGTTGTTGATGACGTTGCGGGGGTAGCGCTGCTCCCGCTTCTCGGGGCAGCCCAGCCACACGGTGCGGGGCTGGAAGTCGCCCATGCCACAGCATCTCGACCAGGGGCAGCATCTGCAAGGGAGCGAGCCGAGCTGAAGGCCTCTCCGGTCCCACCCCCCCCCCTCCCCCGTGGTACAGGCCTCTTATCTCACAGCGTCACCACTGTCCGCCTTAGTCAAACAAGTCTGTGCAGATTTGGTTCCTTGGAGTATTTTATGTGTGTCCATGGAAGCCATACTGATCAATTTCATTTTTTTTTATTTTATTTTTTTTTAAGTTGAAACCTTGTCATTCCACAAAAAAACTTACAGATATCTTTAATAATTAACTGTAACAATCTTATGTGATCAAGTAAGCAGCAAAATTACAGTGAATATCAGGTACAAGAAACAATCACGAGATAATAAAAGTAAAATAAAGAACAGGTAACCATAAAACAGTCCATACAAAGGAGATTATATACAACAGTTAAATAGTTTGATCCCCTATGTTGCCACTGAAACAGCAAACCATTTGGCAATTTAGACTTGGTCCCCAATTAATGAACAAACCTCTCTTAATTAATCTTAATTAACCTTCTCTGTCTTCTCATAAATATAAGCTCAAGTTCAAACAAACAGCAAGACTATTTTCCAAAAGCACACATCTGGTTTGCTGTGACACAGAAGTATGGAATTCAATCTCGATTCCTCAATAAATGCTTATTAATCAGCTCAGCTGGAAATAAGAATCCACAGCTTTCCCACAAGAACCGTGCATGAATTCCTGTGTATTTGTACTGTACCTGAGCAAATGGCAAATAAAGTTTCAATTTAATTAAATTCTCAAAGACCATGGCCAACGTCTCCTTATGTGATGCATAAACATGCCTTTATTCATCACAGCCCATCCATCCATCCATCCATCCATCCATCTTCCATACCCACTTGTCCTATGCAGGGTCATGGCAATCAGGAGCCTGTCCCAGAAACTATGGCCGCAAAGCAGTGAATAACACAGACAGAGCACCAATCCATCGCAGGGCACACTCACAGACCACTCACACACCACTCACACACACACACACACATATCCTTATGGGGACCGCTCATTCATTTCAATGGGAAAAATGCTAAAGCTAACTATGACAACCTTAACCCCTACCCTGCCCTAACCATAACCATAAGTAACCTAACAAAATACAAGAGTTTTTTTTTAGTTTTTTCATAGCAGTCACCGATTTTTATAAAATAGAGTTTTATAAAAAAAAAACGGATATTTATCACGTTATGGGGACATTATGTCCCCATAGGTAAACCCGCTCACTCACACACACGCACACACACTCACACACACACATTCACACACACATTCACACACACATTCACACCTATGGCAACTCCAATTCACCTTAGCATGGTTTTGGACAGCTGGGGGAAACCGGAGAACCTGGAGGAAAACCCATGACGTCACAGGGAGAACCGGGCAAACTGCACACACCAAGGGCTGGGGCAGACACTCGAACCTTGGTTTCACCCTTCTAAATCTACAGATCACGGTTAGACAAAACTATAGCTCAGTGGCCAGGTTACGGTGCATGCATGCTCTCCTGCTAAATGCCAGCAGCATATGGAGGCAAATCCCTCACTGAGGGCTGGGATTGAAGGACACGTGCTTCAAGTGGAGGCTCCTCCACCTTAGTGACACACTAGACCACCTATACAAATTAGCTTTGCAAACCAACAAGGGTTTCATCACTGGCTATACTAGTGTGAGGTTAGAGGAAGATACCGTGTTTGTTTTAGCGGAAGCAGGGCTCAAGTCCAAATGAACACACAAGATCAAGGTACATTATAGGCCTGCTAAATCATAAATTATAGACAAAGCGGTAATGATTTATATAAGTTTATGAAAGATATTATACTGACTGAAAGCCTGTTTTAACATGAAACAATTATTCAATTTGTTTACCCCAAGTTCATCCCTAAAAGAAGCATGACCAGACCAATAAGTGACAATTTAAGGTCAATGGCACTGAGATCACGCACGCTAAACTCGACATATTTTCTACACAGTCTAATATTTCAGCACATCTGTAATGTAATGTGATACATGAACATGCAACAGTACAGAGTTACAGATTTGGTAAATGGTGAACCTCTGGTTTGGCCATGTTACTTATAGATTACACCTACAAGGCTATAAATACATAGTCCGTAATGTCATAGTAAAGGGATGAGAGTTATAATTAAGAACAGAAACAGTCAATGTAACAGATTCACTAACTAGAAAGTACCCGATGAGCCTATTAATATGCACAGCTGAGAACAGAGCAGTACACAACCGTCTCAACAGTGCTATTGTGTGATAGAAGCAAAAACAGGTTTCCCTCCTCCAATTTGCTTCCTCATATGGATCTTTGGTACTGGTACGAAACAGAAAGATCACCATTTCAAGCCAGTGAAGCCGGCTCTGCTTCCTTCACAATGCATTCTTTGTAAGAGGACTCATTTTTTAAATGTGTCATATTGCTTGTGCAGTATCTGGACTCTGCACTTCAGTCTTTGATGCAGAATTTCGCCTCCTACAGGCAATGAGGTGCTTTCAAAGACAATGATGAAAGCTGAACATCTCCAGCATAACCCGCCTGATTATGGTGTGCAGCAGTCAGGTAAGGGGGGCAATCTCAGTGGATGGGGGGTGGGCCAGTGGTTGTCTCTATCTTTCAATACAGACAAAATTTAAGTAACAGAATGGTCGCTGAATTTTTTTACTTTAAGGATGCTTCAAAGTGGAACCTTAAATTTCGCAAATGTGCACCAAACTATATGAGTAAGACGAATAACGTACTGCTTTCAGCTCGCCGTCATCTGGGGAGGGGGGGCTCTGGAGATGTAAGCGGCCCCTTTTAGGACTTTAAAAGCTGTTTATAACTGTAAAATAACTACACAATGTCTCTTGTTAGTAGTTCTTCATCATAGCCGTAGCAGCCCTAAAACACGACATCCCGCCTGAAGCTGACAGCACTGAACATTTTTTTATATTTACAGCCATGAACAGATCCTTATCCTCCCACTCAACAGCTAGATACCTGGATGCACCTGGTTTATATTACAAACTTTTGTGAGAACCTTTACTTACATGGTCAGCAGCTGGGCAAGAGGAACCATTTCAGTCAAGAGATATAATGTTTTCCCAATATGTTACTTCACCCTATCTAGAAAAATCTTAAATTAACTGCATTTCAAAAAGCCTGATTTATATTTTCTTTCTAGCAGATTTATATACACATCTGCTTTGCACAGCGACCAGACAAAGAGCCTATCAAAACCGAATTTGAGCAAGAGCTACCAAAGATGTTCAAAGTTTTTATTTTTCTGTATTACTGTGGTGTGGAACAAACCTTATCTGATTCGTACTGTGAGTGACATGCAGAGGCACATACCAGAAGCATATATCAAGTCCTGAAGGTTTAAGCCAAAAGATATACTGTGATTCTTCTGCAGACTCATGTCAGCAGTACAATGGTGAGGTGTATGCTGAACACACAATAGCTGATTCATCCATAAATTCAGTTTGACAACAACCACCAACAATTTAAAACGTTAGCTGATTAGCTGACAATTTCACCCACAGCAGTGTATAGTTTTCATTAATACAGCTGAATGTTTCACTTAATTATTTAGTTTAAATTAGCTGGTAGGAAACAACACCATAGAACCTCTAGTCACCGTACAAATTTCCACAACCATAACCTGCACCTGTATGGATGCATAGTTAATACAGAAAGTGCTCATGCTTTATAATCAAGCCATTCTCCACCAAATGAATCCATATTTACCACACATTCAAGTCCACAAATGTACAGCAGTGCGGGGAAGTGGGTTATTATCTTAAGTGCTGTTCAAGTACACAAGTCGCATGCAAGCTACTGTATTGGCACACTATGTTTTCCCACAACAAGAGAAGGCCTGTTGTGCAATTCCACCAATCACCATGCCCGAAAGCCTACTGGGAGGTGTGGCGACAGTGTCTGACCAATCACGGGATGGCTGAAGGCGGTCTCTGGTGATGATAACTTCTGGTATGAGGCCGGTTTGAAACCCAGTCACACCCCTTTGTGCTACATCTTAATACGGCTCAGCGATGTAACAGCGCATAATTATCAACAAACACTGGGAGAATAGACTAGAAAATTCAGCAAGACAACCAACCATTTGTATCCCTAAGGCACCAAAGAATGACCTATAAAACATTTACAGAAAAAAACGCCCTAACATACAAGGCTATTAAAAGTATCCACAGTCAACAATCTATTCACTATAACTGAAATAAATTTTCAACTCTATCCTAAACACTACTGCATCCTAAAATAATTATACATTTATATATAAAGATGGAGAACTGGATACACGTTCTTGCTTATTTGTCTCCCATCCTGCTGTGACTCATTATGCTAAAATGTCGCTTTTGTTTGTCAGATTCAATCCCTGCAGCACCAGATGCAGATTGCAGATCTCAACAGCAGCATTGTCCTTATTCATCATGGTACAAAAGCTAAAAGCCTACAGCAGTGTCTTCTACAGGCCCGGCCATCGCCGCAGCCTGTCATTTCACTGTGCGGCGATGCCATTCTGATAGGCTACACTTTATAGGAAAGAAAGGTTTATTATTAATATTTATTTAGCTTGTTTGTTTTTAAAGAAGGCACAGGGGTTCTCCCCAGAGGCAGTAAACAGGCCGGAGTGAAGGATGGGGGTCAATATTCAGAAAAAGAGACCAAAGATATGGGTGAGAGGACGGAAAATAGCGATGTATAGGCACTGACTTCCAGAAACTGCTTTCAGGGTGATGAAAGCAACATTTAAATGCCAGTTTATACCCTTATACATTTGCAAATGGAAATAACTTCTATAATGTGATTAGTTAATGATTAATCACTTAGTGAAATTTGTTTATAATAATGTCGCCCAGTTTAAATTACATAATTAGTACTAAATATAGGCTATGTATGCATATGTGTGTCTGCACAGGCCTATGTTTAGTAAAATGTTACTTTAATGTTATGTAACTGGGATTTTGACTTCAGAGAGAGGATGGCATTTCGATTTTATTTTCCAGTGTATCACTGGTATGTTAATAGCCTTATACTCGCTCCAGGTCTTTTCATTGATCTGCATATCATTAGTCGGCAAAGCTTCGTTCATTATACAGAAGAAAAGTTAAATGAGAAATTTTTACATTAGTCAGCTTCAAAATGAATTCTATGATGTAGGCTATGCGATTAAATACAAATGTTCATTGTTTATATTAATCGATTTTGCTTTTGAATTTTTGATTGACTATCGTTGTCCCAAGCATGGATGTTTTTATAAATGGATTAAAATCACATTGGAATACACTGATTTTCAGTAGTACTGCTTTGTATTACATCATGACACATCCCCTTCTTTTGCTGTATTCTCAAACCAAAGGTTCCGATTTCGGTTTGTACGCATTATAAATATCGTTTTTATTCACGATATGGACATGAACTTTAATAACGTTTCCTTTTTTTGCCATTATATATTGCAGACGCCATCGCAGGCTGATATCGCCTACTCTTATCGAGCCTGACTTTGCTTTGTTTTTATCGGGCGGCAACAAAAACCTGAACATCCACCACCAGCAACAAAATAAAACTATTGGGTTTAAAACGCTGGGTTTCGGTGACCGGCTCATTTGCACAGGTGGAAAAGCGGCCAGCATCGGTCTTTTCCCGACGTGCTTTTATAGCTGGCGCCTGAAACAATTAATCGGCAGTGTGGTGTAACATGGGCGATCGTCTTATTTGTTATACAAATGCACGATGCTTTTTGCTATGGGAGCAAAGCTCAAGGCCTGTCCGGGTGAGACGGTGCCCTTCAACAAAGCTGCCGAGCTAGCAGGCAACGCTTAGCCTTATCTGCATTAAAATGGCTCACTCTGTATCGTACATCAAGTGCACATCAAGCAGGCACAGCATATTGACGCCCATTTACATGCAGTAACCGGAACAAGGATATCCCGACAGGGCGCGACTTTACAGGTAGATGTAGCAGGCTGATTTAAACCGATTTATTCTCGATCGCTACATAATAACGCATAAAGGTGGTCTTGAGATACATTAATAATTAAAGACAGACACATGCATCGCGTGTGAGTTCTCTATACCAGCAGAACACAGGAGGCGGCAGGCTTAAGCGTTCCCAGTAATTCATATTTTGACATTTAAACAAGAGCCGCGGATCCAGTGCCGGGGACATCTGGTTAAGGCATAACCAAAACTCCGATTGCGATTTCCTTACCCGCTTTTGTGTTTATTGTCGTGTCTTTTTTTGTGTCTCACCGGCTGCAGTGGGATATTGTCCGTCATTCCTGCAGTTTTCGGTTTATGTCAGTGAAACGCCTTTTCTGTGCGCTGGGCGGAGGCTGGCTCATTTCACACCGTGACTCGCCTGCTCTCCGCTCGTCTCTGCACGGATCCACCGAAATGCCAGAGCGAGGATTAAATATAGTCACGCTATTATATTTTACGTCTCTGGTTCGCGAATGACCCCAGTTACTGTTTTATACTTTTTCATTTTTAACCTGCAGTCACAACGCTGTTTATTATAACATTTCAAATACAGCTTGCACACATTAAGGGCAAAACCCCTTTAAAATATTTTCGAACGTATTTTTAACTGTATTACTGGTTATCTGACCACTCGTTTTATTTATACGAATCGTACAATAAAAATCAAAATAAGAACGATCATGGGTCTATCGTTTTACGTCACTATATCACTCGTGTTTACATATTATAGCTTAGTGATACTCCACTTGTATTAAGTAACAAGTTAAAATAATTAAATGGTTTAATCAGTAATACAGCACATATATATATATATATATATATGTGTATGTGTGTGTGTGTCAGAAAACAAAGCGTGACGACACAACCACATAAGCAGCAGCCAGTCGTTGAACCTGCACGCATGCATTTCTCGAAATTTCAATATCTTTATCATCTCCCTTGGACCCCAAATTGTCATTTACAGTGGCTAAAAGAAAGCAAACATAAGTCCACATATTGAGCAAATTGCTAAATGTTAACTGGTGTGAATACAAAGACTTGTGCCTACTCTCACTTCCTCTGCCAGACTCCGAGCTGCGTGTATGGGATCAATGTACAGCTTTAAACAATTTGAAACCAGAATATTGATAAAGACCCATTATTTTTATATACCACCTGACCAATTCATGCTTCTTGAAGAGACCGCTGATTGGGCTCTTTATCACGTGACTGTCCACTTGCAGTAACTCCCAATTATAACCCAGGGCTAAAACTGCAACCATAAGATATTCGTACCCAAAGCAGTACGGGGATTCAGAAAAAGATCAGGTAGCGGCTGACGTTCTGCTTTTGCAAAACCACAATGCACAATATAACAATGTGTGCGTTTACCAATAAGCTGTGCCTTTACTAGGTTTTAAATTTCACAACCTATGTTATGGATCTGGTGGAAGAAAACAGAGGTACTAAGGGTATGGAAAGGGGAATGCAAATCCAGGAGAGGCAGCCGGACATGAGCACGGCTAAATAAGCACACTTTGTATGTGGATAACCATACTCCCATTTGATGACACAGCAAATGAAGCCACATAACATTTCAATGGTAGTAAAATAACAGCTTTATGGGAGGAGCATCCAGCCACTGGGAAACACTGCAGAGCAGAAGCCACAGCAAATTCTAATATTGCTTTATTAAGGATGGACAAAACTTGGAAAAAAGTCACCCTGATTTTATTTTCCAAGAAGGAAAAAAAACTGAAAGTAAAAAAAAAAAAAATCCGAATAAGGAGGGGAAAAGTCAAGGAATGACTTCTTTACAAGGTCTACACTGTAAACATGGCAAATAAACTGGTTTTGACAAGAGTCAAGAATTCTCATTTCGTGAACTACAGAGAGTCACCACAAATCCAGATCAAGGCACAACTTGGCAAATGCATATTTCAGAAGGAAAAGAAATTCGGAACAAGATGTGTAAAGTGTCTGTAAATTAAAAAAGGGAACCTCCACTCCAAGCATTAGGTCAGAGATACTTTCAGAAAGTCTACAAGAATGCGGGGGGGACACACCCCCCCCCCCAAAAAGTGTAGAATACATGGCTGCTGGACATTTCCACAGGGCATCCAAACATATCCTGCCAACTATAGTTAAGTACTTATTTACAATGCTGATGGTACACCAAAGTTGTGAGGAATGTTTTGATTAACAAAGACAGAAAAAAAACAAAAAAAACAAAAAAAACAAACATTCATCTAGGCGTTCAGTCCTAAGGCTCAACCCATGCTGTCCCTAAACATAACACGGGGGAGGGGGGGGGCACACATTTGGCACCAGGCTAGTCACACCATACAACTGAAGACAGGGTTAGGAAACCAGGATGGTGGATCTATATATAGGGATTAAAGTGCAGACATGGATGAGAGCATTCAGTGTTATGATAGCCTTTAAAACATTGGTATAGGCCCTACCAGTTTGGATAAAAGGGACATATGCAGAAATATTGGCAGAAATCTGAATTCAGGAAGCTGAACGTTACACTGAGACACAAAAATGTCTTGATCATTTTTGGCCAGAGGGAAAGGAGCTTCATCTTGATTACAACGTCATCTGTGGTGGTTCGAGTAGATGCTGCTGGCATACGTAGTTCAATGCTAGGCACTTAGAGTGTAAACTATATACATTTCACCACAAAAGCAACATGGAACAACCATTTACAGCAAAAAAAAAAAAAAAAAAAAAAAGGACAAACTACTGGTGCTCTCCAAACCAGACTGTTGATACACAAAGCAGCAAAATGCACCAGAGCCCTGAAAAATATCCTCTTGCATGAGAATGAAAGATTTTCTATGGGCTAGGTGAAAGAAATAGTAGGTGCTAGACAATTCAAACACAGTAAGTAGCTACAAAGAAAAGGACAGAACACAGAATTTCCCCCAATATCAACTATACATCTTCAAACAAACATTTGCAACTAGGCGTTATCCTTTAGCGTACATTCCTGGCAGGGACAAAGTTTGGATTACAGCTGTTTCAAGTAAGGAATACATTCAACTTCCAGAGGAAAGACTAAAATAAAAATAAAAAAAAGTTACCCGCTTCGTTTCCACACATACAAACTGTAAATATAACCAAGATCTCTACAGCAGTTCAAGTTTTACTATAAGAAACACTAGCATTTAAGAGGTAAACTGTTCAAAATGGCGCCAAGGGAAAGAAGGTGCACCCTTCAAGTTACTGGGAAAAGGGATCAATTAATGCTTTGAGAAACCCATACAACCTCAGCAAGGGAGCATTGCATCAAGGGTCACAAAGCTCTAAAGGCGATTGTACTTTATTCCCAAGCAAGTAAAAATAGCGACAGTTATAAAAAGCCATGATCCTTTTCAGTAGGATGATTAGATTTGTCATAGAACTTAGAAAAAAATGCAAGAGGTGGATGGGAAAAAATTACAAAAATCAATTCACAGCGATTTTGCTCTCTTCCATGAAGTGTGAAAACTGTGACTTTGGGACACCTTCTGCACCATTTTTCTCCATCTCAGCTATGGTACCAGGTAGACCAGCCTGGGAGCTATCAATCTTCATCAGACCCCCAGTGGAGCCTGCCAGTGGGCCACTGGCAAGGCTACCTGGGAGGGGAATGCCTCCGTTCTGGATGACTGAAATCTCATTGGTCTTCATGGTCAGACCATTTGAAAATGCCGCGGCATACTGGTTCCACATGGAGGGGTCAAAGTTCATGGGAGGAGGTGGCAGGTCCTTCGGGGGTGGCATCATCTCAGGAACCATCTTCGGCTCTGTACCCATGGCCATCAAGGCCATGGGGTTATCCAGAGACATCCTCTGTCCCCGCCTTGCAGAGTTATTCCACATGTGAGTTCCAACATGCACCTAGAAGGAAGGTGGAATCCACAACGTTAGGGTTACAAATCCGTGGCCATCTGCAGCTAGGCAAAATAACTGCCAGTAACAACCTAGACCCACAATGAAAATGCTTACCTTCAGGTTGCCCTTTGTGGTAAAGGCTCGGCCACAGATGGTACAAGCGAAGGGCTTCTCCCCAGTATGCGTACGCTCATGGATCTGTAGAGCACTTGCAGAGGAGAAGTTCTTTCCGCAAGCATTGCACAGGTGCTGCTTGCCGGAGCGACGTGGTGCACTAGCACTGCCGGACTGCGAGCCCACACCCAAGGGCATCTGGGTACCAAAAAGGCTGTGTGGTCCCATTGGGGTCTCCGGAGGGATCTGCATCTCCAGCTTGACCAGACTTGGGGGAACCCGCATGTAAGGGACATGGCTAGAGCCTATTTGAAAGGCAATACAAAATCCGTTAAAAAAGCAACGACTCCCTACATACTTATAGTGGGTTACTGAATGTGCTTCAGTTAAGAGCAAATATTGATCATGGTCACAAGAAACTGGACATTGCTAATAAGAACAGAGCAATATGCAGTGTTTGGGACGTTACTGACAAAAAGCAATCCATTGCAGAGAAATCCACACCAAGGTTTTGTTTCAACCAGTTGGGTATAGAGTGTGAAAGTACTTAACTGGCTTGTTGAAACAAAACCTTGGTCTGGATTTGTACCTTCTGGACCTGGATTTTCTACCTCTATCTGCAATGGATTACTTTTGTCAGTAACTTCCCCAACACTGGTCATCGGGGGGGGCTTACCGTATTCTCCCATGGTCATGGAAAGGCCTGGTTCCTCTTTGACTGGCTTTGGAACAAAACTGCCAGAAGTCAGGTCAAGAGCACCTCCAGATTCGGGATCCTGAGACCCAAATTCTACCTCTGGCTTAGAAGCAGCTCTGCCACCTTCTTCAGTGATGGCAGAATCGGGAGACTTTGACTGGTTGCTGCCCTGCTGGCTATCGACAGGCGATGAAGATTGGAAAGACATAGAGTCTGAGGCTGCAGGACTCCGGCCATTCTGATACTCTCCGGTTATCTCCCCCGACACAGGTGGGGCATCTTTAGGTGTGACGTCAGTCTCGGGTACACTGGTTTGCTGCTGCTGCTGCAGGTTGAGGGCTGAGGTCAAGCTCTTCATGTGGCTTTCCAGAGCAGCAATGCCAGAGAACATGGGCTGAGGGTGAGATGCATGGTCTTCTTTCATACCTGAAGCCTCATTCAGGGGCTCAGAGAGCTCTGAGGGCTTTTCCTGAGAGTCCAGCTCCACATCAGGCTCATCAAGACTCTCATCATTAAAACTATTCACATCAAGGGCCTTCTCATTAGTTGGAGAGTTTTCCATCTCGGTAGTCTCGAATGTGCCTTCTGGCAGAGGAGTGTTGGGAATCTGACCACCCATGTGCATGCGGATATGTTGCTGCAGCACTACAGCATTGGTGAACTTCTTCTGGCAAATGGGGCAGGAATGTTGCATCTTCAATGGTGTGTTGGCCCTGTGGACACCATAATGGGCTTTGAGGTTGCCCTTTG